CAAGGAAGAACCAATAAATTGAGTGGATCGGGAGCGCACGAGACTATAGCAGAAAGTCGCCGCATCGTCTGGCGACGACAGCATCGCGGCAGAGAGAGCCACACTCTAGCTGACATCAGCTGTGCCGACAGTCGGCGCGTGGATAAGAGCCGCCGCGGCTGTCACCACCGGCCGCCAGAGGGCATAGAAGTCAGTAGCAATCAGAGCTTCACAAAAGCCAGAGTGTTATCATTGAGTAGTCTAGTTTTCTCAAGTGAGCTCGGGAATCAGATCCCGAACTAATCAGTCTCAAATCGAGTCGGCTAGGCCGGAGTCAGTTACTCCGTCGCTGATCGATGAGATCCATCAGTGCGCGCCCGATCTGTCAGTAAAATCGAATACGAAGTGCGTCTTCCATTCCCATACGAGATCAGTGTGCCACAAATTGGTGTCAGAAGATTAAGAACCCATCGCTCAAGGAGCAGATCCAACGACTATTCATCGAGAGGACGAAGTGAGAAGTTCCATCAAGGTCCCGTCAACAACTTCCTGTGTCTTCTCGGAATTCCGGAACTATCCGCTAAGAGCGTGGTCAACCTCCAAGCTTGCTTCCAAACCTCTCGGACGAGCTCGATAGTTTTCTTCAGCGGGAAAATTATCAATCGACCCAAGGGTCTATCAACGACCGGAAATTCCGAGCCGAGAATCTCTACATCACGAGGAATCACCCCGCCACACACCACCGCATCGAAGTTAGGCCTAGTCTCACAAGCTGAGTTCCCCAATGAGTGACAATCAGGATGGAACCCCACAACAAAGCACGGGCCTAGAAGCAACAATTACTGAAGAAGCCTCAACAGAACCCGTCGACCTAAATGCAGGGATGATCGAAACCGACGGCGACGGTGATACTCGGAGTCAACACTCAGATAAGAACACCTGCATCCAACCAAACCACGTCGCCATTCCGACCGCAATGATTTTAACGGAGGAGATATCGCCCTGAGGCGAGCCGGCACCCGAAAGAACCTCGATTGAGAGCCAGGCCCCGCAAAATCCCCAACCACCCCCGACGACAGCAGTCTCAATAGAACAAACAGTGTCGGAGTCCCAGGTAAAATATTTACAAACCAGAATCGAGTTCTTCGTAGACGAAGCCTTGTCATTCTTCGACTATAATGGTGACCGAACCGAAGCGCTTTCCAGAACCGACGATCTCAGAGACACTCTGTCAAACTTACTGACGGAGTGGACCACCACAATTTCGGCAAGTTACATCCAACAGCAGACCCGGACCTCCTTCGCAGCTATGTCAGAACCGAGCGGGACCTGCGCGAGGCGATCAGACACCTCAGGGATCTACGACGTTTCCTAGTAGACTGCCTTCAACCTTCCGGGATAGAATCGACATTCCTCCCAACGGGAAATACACAAGCAATCCGGGGCTCGACTGAGATCCAGAATCCATCAAATAGCGATGACACAAACAATATTCGAGCGAATAACCAGCAAACTCAATGGAGATCCTCTACTCAGATCGCAGGCCAGCCCAGAGCGGCGAATAGCAACCGGGAGGAGTCGCTGACGATGTCCACAGGAGGCATATCGCATATTGCTCAAATTCCGCCGCCACTGTCCCTCGAACAACCCCGAGCGAAATCGTCGCTCCGACTCCGAATCAACAAACTCAAGCCGCAACTTCAGTCTCGGCACAACTGAAAATCGAAACATCGCAAGGAGAGAATCCAGATAACTTTCTTCCGAAATTATCGAAAAACTTCAAATTACCAAAGTTCAACGGAGAAGCCTAGGACTTCAGGAGGTTCATGGACACATTCAACGCATTTGTGCACGACAGGCAGATTCCCGATCTGCAGAAGATCATCCTACTGCAAGACGCACTCTCAGGCAAGGCCTTCCACTGCGCGAAACACTTCAACCTCAGGGCGGAAAACTACGCACCGATGAAACTACTCCTCGAGGAGCGTTTCGGCCAAACGAGCTTCGCCGAGGACGGCCACCTACGAGAGATGGAACAGATCCTGTCGTCCGGAGGGGAGATCTCGCTCGATAACTTGCCTTTTTTGCTAACCTGATCAGCACATACACGCACTAATAGCATTCATTCACATCGCTATTATTATTCACGAACAGAATACTCAGGAAACTGACTTACGAATCACAGCGAAAATTCATAGAATCATCGAGGAAGCAGCCGCCAGCTCAGACGAGCAGCCTCGAAACGCTGCTTTCATTCCTGAAGTCAGAAGCCCTAACCACAGAAGCACTCCGGGCGAAGCAAGGCACTCCCACGAAGCACTTCAATCCCTCTCCGACGTCGTCCAGAAACTACACTTACACTCAGAGCGGCAGACAACCGCCCACCCGCCCAACACTCCTGAGATCGCGAACTCAACCAAACTCATACCATTCGCCACTCAACAGGATGGAAAACGTCTCGTACAAGACCAACACCAATAATTTTCACGTAGTAGCGTCGACATCAAATCTCCCTTTCCGATCAGTCCCACCAACTCCCCCCAGGACTCAGGCGATCCCGTGCATCTTTTGCGAAGCCGATCACGTGGCGTACAGATGTACAGCCTCGCTCACGCTCCAAGATCGCTCGGAAAGAGCGAAGTCAGCAGGGGCCTGCCTGAAATGCCTCAAGTTGAATCACATGGCAAAAAACTGTCGGGAGGGTCCAAAGACCTACTGCCGCTACTGCAACTCGAGACACTACGCAATCCTGTGCAGCAAAGCTCCAATGAATCTGAACGATCTACCGACAAAGCACACCTCCATCAACCTCAACGTGGACTCCGGAGAAAACCCGACATTCTTGTGGACCGCCCACGTGGAGGCTGAAAGCAACAGCAAATGCACCACGATCTGCCGAATCCTGATCGACTCAGGGTCCGAATCCTCCCACATCACAGAAGCGTTGGCTTTGAAACTGAAATCGAAACCATCACATCACGTGAATATGACGATGTCCACCGCAGGTGGTCGAGTGGCGAATATTCAGAATTGCGGGATCCACAACGTGACCCTTAGAAGCAGATTCGAACCCCAAAACTCAATTCAGATAGAGGGAATCGAACTCAAGTGCATATCTAGATCCAAATTCCCCATTCTGAGAGACTCGTTCGGCCTCTCCCCAGCAGCCGACCATACGGAACACGGAGAGACAGAATGGGTGGACATCCTCCTCGGGGTTAAAAATTTCACTAAGATAGGTTTCGCCAACCCGCAATCATTCGGGGAAATTTTCGCGTTCAAGTCTGTCTTCGGCTGGATCATCGGCGGCTCTGGGGGAGCATCAACGCCTCAGAACACACTGCCACGATTCTGCGGCTTCGCCGCGACTCAGCCAAGCAGTCCGCTGGTTCCTTTCCCATCCACTATCCCCGGTACAATCGCTGAATTCCAACCTCCCGGAGAGGACACGACCGCGCGGAAGCAAAATCAAACCCATCAAGATATAGAATGCTTATAGCAGACCGGAGACCTCGGCTTGGAAGAAGATCCGATCGACGAGCAGAGGGAAGAAGAAGACAGTCTGAACCGAGCCCTAATCGACAACTTCAAAAAAACAACAACAAGGGATCCGTCGGGCCGGTACATACTCAGACTCCCCTTCCAGGACAACATTCGTTCATTAGGCGACAACGAAAACCTCTCCAGGTCTAGGCTCCAATCTTTCTTGAAAAAACTCTCAAAAAGCCCTGACAAACTCAAAGCCGTAGATAAAGAGATACAGAACTACGTCGAAGCAGGCTTCGCTGAATTCGCCCGACCAAGGGAGCCGAATCAGCTGGCCCACTACTTGCCGATCCATGCGGTCTTCAAGGCGAACCCAAATTCCCCCGTGGGTTCGAAGACCCGGGTCGTAAAGGATGCGAGCGCAAGGCGCTCAAACGAAGCAGGACTCAACGATGTCCTCCATCAGGGACCAAATCTCTTGCCGAACATCATCAAAGTCCTCATGAAATTCCGGCAATACAAATTCGTCCTAACGGCCAACATCGAGAAAGCCTTTCTACAATTCAGAATAGCAGAGGAAGATCGGACATTTCTCCGCTTACTCTGGCCGCTGGGCATATCCAGCAATCCAGCCGCAAGGACGAGAGAATTCTGGGCTTTAAGGTTAGACTTTGGCTTGGTGTGTTCCCCATTCCTCCATTGCCAAGGACTGAGACACCACCTCGAAAACTTCCAGGTCGCACATCCTGAACACCAAGAATTCATCCAAGAACTCATCAACCACTTCTATATGGATGATATCCCCTGCGGCAGCGACAGTTTCCAGGAAGCGAAACTACGAGAAAACTACTCTTCAGAATCTTCAAGGACGCCGCAATGCCGCTGAAGAAGTGGGCTTCGAATAGCCCCGAACTCGGGAAGTTCATCACACTGCACTCGCCAGTCAAAGACCTCACTATCTCAATCGACGAGACTAACGGAAAGTTCTTCGGGATCCCTTGGAACCAATCGTCAGACACACTGTTAGTCCCTCTAGCAAAGGCCATCGAAGAACTTCGATCCGGCACGCCTGCGAAAAGAAAACTCCTCAGGGCTAGCTCAGATATATGATCCCTTGGGGATTCGGGGAGCATCCACCATCAACTCGAAGATTTTGCTCCAAAAGCTCTGGAAAGCGAGCTTTGGCTAGGACAAACCTTTAGAGGGCGCCCACCTCACAGAGTTCGGGAACCTTATCCAACTGCTGGTCAAAGCGAACAGCATTTCTACCCCAAGACACTTGTTCTCCGCAGACTCAAACAAACCACGTCGAGAACTACACACCTTTTCAGACGCAAGCTTACTATCCTACGGCTGCGTTGCCTACGTCAAAGAGATATTCAGCGATAGTCCTCCCAGAGTCCACTTTGTCACGGCGAAAGCTAAAGTATGCCCAGTGAGGCCTGTCTCCATCCACAGATTAGAGCTCCTAGGCGCGCTCCTCGCAGCCCGACTCGTCAGCAATCTACTTAAAGTGATCGAAATAGGGTTCGACTCGACTCACCTCTACACAGACAACTCGAGCGTACTCGGCTGGGTCGGTTCCAAACCAGAACGATGGAAAGCCTTCGTGTGGCCAACAGAATCCGACGCATTCACGCCCTGGTCGGCCAAGCCGATTGGAAATATGTACGATCAGAAGACAATCCCACCGACTTAGTGTCGCGCGGAGCAGACATCTCGTCAGAAGTCAATAGAAAACTTTGGCTAAGTGGCCCGACTAGGCTAGCACTAGATTCGCAACCATCCGAGAGATCGCGGTCGAGTCCCTGAATCGGTGACGCATCCGATCGGATATTTGACACCGAGCGACGCCAGAACATCACGTGTATGGTTTCGAGTTCGGCAAAGTCAACCCCGAGCGAGAAAATATTTTTCGAGAACACATTCTCCTCATGGCTAAAAGCGATCCGATTCTGGGCTTTCATCCAACGCTTGATCATCAAAGCTCAGCAAGCAAGGGCAGAGTCGAGAAGCGTACTCGGAGCCCCCCTCACACAATGGATAAGTCGAACAGGGAGATCAGCCCAGAAGAAATTATATCAGCCAGGCTTTCCCTAATCAAATTGATTCAGAACACATATTTCAAGGAAGAAATGGAATCTCGATGCCAACAAATAAGAAAAACAGCACCCTTCACCAATGCAAAGCCCACATGGGCGAGGACGGTCTCATCCACTCCGAATCAAGACTGATCCTATCATCGAGATTAACGACGAGCCAGAAATACCCTCTAATCCTGCCATCAGACTGTAATCTCTCGAAGCTCATCGTTCAGGACATCCACGAAAGGAAGTGCTTCCATTCGGGAGGCGTAAACGCCATCCTTCACATCCTTCGGCAGGATTTCCTTCTCATACATGCGCGCAGAATCGCCCGAGTGGTCATTAATACCTGCCCCACCTGTAAGATCTTCCACTGCGAGGCAGCCAGCCTCCCTCCCCTCCCGGCATTCCGAGTCGAAAAGACACCTCCATTCTTCCACTGCGGTGTCGATTTCGCCGGACCATTCCGGTACAAAAAGGATAGCGGGGAAATCGGAAAGAGCCATATCCAGCTTTGTACTTGCGCGGTCACCCGCGGGGTGAACCTCCACCTCTGCACCGACCTATCTACGGTCGAGGTCTTAGGTGCCCTTCAGAAATTCATCAGCCGGTTCCCGAACGTCAGGACGATCACTTCCGACAACGGCCTCTCGTTCCAAAGGGCAGCGAAGGAACTGAAACTCCTTTACGAAAGCATCAAGGACGGAGGAGTGAAAAGATGGCTAGCAGACTCGTTCATCTCATGGAAATTCATCACACCGTGCGCCCCATGGTTCGGTGCGTTCTATGAGCGCCAAGTTCAGACGATAAAGAGGCCACTCCGGAAAATACTCGGCTCCGCCATTCCCCACTTCAGGGATCTCGAGGTTTTCAATTGCAACACCGAAGCGATGGTGAACCGACGTTCAATAACGACTGACGCCTCAGGGACAGACGAAGGGGAAGCACTGAGCCCATTCGATCTCCTTCACAGATATAAAGGAAGATCCCAGAACATTCCCTGAAGCCCAAACGGAGAGCCGACAAAGATATGGTGATCTTCTCAAGAAGATGGGCGTATCAACAACGATTATTGAACATGTTCTGGAAACGATATACAATGGAATATCTTCAATACCTAAAAACAGCTCATGAGCAAACCCCAGGCAGAACGAATCATTTGAACATCGGCGACATCTGTCTCCTAGAGGGAGAATCGTTCAATAGAGCTGTCTGGCCACTTTGCCGAGTCATCTCATTCCCCGAGAATGTGAAACCCGAGAACGCAAGATAATGCGTCGTGCGAGCAGCTAAGGGCCAAATGCTCAACCGCCCGATCAAGAAAATTTACCCGCCGGAGTCCACCATCTTATACCCGAAACAATCCTCAGGGGACCTCGAGCAATCAGTGAAACCCATTTCAAACAATCGAAAGATACAACAATCACGATTCATTACACAGAAGAGAACTTTCTACCCTATGAGTAGGGGCACCTTGCGACGGGAATACTGAGCCGATCGGCTCGAATTCGAACATTTGATCGGAGACGCCAAGCCAGCCAGCGGTAATAACTCGAAACTCGGACTCGACCCTCTGTCGAGTGATAAGATCGGACGGCCCGTAGCCCTCATTAACTAACCACCTCAACTCTTGAAGCTTTACAAGCTTATCCTCGATCTCAGCCACGGAAACGGATTCAGCCTCCCCGGGACTCCTGCGAATTCGCCTCAACAGATCGCGTTCGGCTTCGAAGGCGATGTTCGTCTGTCCTTCGGTTCATTCAGTAACGAGGCGGGGGTCCTCCATATTCATGCGCTCCAATGTATCAACGTAGCGCGCTGCATGCCAGGACAGCGGTACAACGTAACGGAGACACCGCGTAAGCTCCATTTCCGCGGGATCCACCCGGGCTCCCTCGCCCCTCAAAGCCTTCGACTCCCGACGAAAAGGGTCCTGCTCTAAGGGAGTCAAGCTCTCCCAAGCGTAGTGAGCGATACACCTCACATAGTGATATCCGTAAAAACGTAGAGGTTGTTCTCGAAATCGCAACTTTCTTTCGGAGAGACCGCAAGGCGATCGGTCGTAGTTCACACCCGGGCGCCGAGCCATGTCGTCTCCACCCCAATCTCACAGAAGATTTCCGAAGGTTCCAGAAAAGGTCGGTACCGAGTTGCTGTTCGCTCGACGGCGAGACGAGAAATATTCGTTGAAACGAACTCAACAGTCTCTCCCACGAAACGGAAACCTCCGCCAAAGGCGGGACAACTTGAATATCCAAATGAGACCTTGTGAATCGACATTCGGAATTCTCGCGGCCTGCCGAGAATTCGGAGGGGGACTGTGACGAACGAGCCTGGCCGTAGCGCATGCGGGACACTAACTTACAGACAAATACACATGCAGAGATCGGGAAGACAATAATCGGAAACTTAGATGAACCATTTATTGAGTACCTCATTCAGCAACCCCTGGGGCTTGCACACTTGCTATACCAGTACGATAATCAAGTCCATTCATCTCAAGGAAGAACCAATAAATTGAGTGGATCGGGAGCGCACGAGAATATATCAGAAAGTCGCCGCATCGTCTGGCGACGACAGCATCGCGGCAGAGAGAGCCACACTCTAGCTGACATCAGCTGTGCCGACAGTCGGCGCGTGGATAAGAGCCGCCGCGGCTGTCACCGCCGGCCGCCAGAGGGCATAGAAGTCAGTAGCAATCAGAGCTTCACAAAAGCCAGAGTGTTATCATTGAGTAGTCTAGTTTTCTCAAGTGAGCTCGGGAATCAGATCCCGAACTAATCAGTCTCAAATCGAGTCGGCTAGGCCGGAGTCAGTTACTCCGTCGCTGATCGATGAGATCCATCAGTGCGCGCCCGATCTGTCAGTAAAATCGAATACGAAGTGCGACTTCCATTCCCATACGAGATCAGTATGCCACAG